TCAGGATTGTGTGCAGTGGTGATTGGTACAGGAGCCGCCGTAGCGGGGGAGGATGGTAGTGGGGGTTCGGGAGTGCATCAGTGTCAGTTGTCGGAGTGGAGGATGAGACAGAGCTGGACGAGGAGACAGCAGCTGGTGTATTCCGGGTGCTGCAGTTGGTACGAAGATTTTCTATAAGGCCGATTGGTGTCCGGAAGGTGCGCGGGCAGCGTGGGCGAGTCGGGGCTGGTTGGGAGTTGGCGCTGCGGGGTGGTCGCAGTTGGCATTTGCGAGCTTCGCGTTTGGCTTTGGCGGCGGTGATGCGGTTGGCTTCATAGATTGCTGCACCTGTTTTCACTGCCCGCCTCCAGGTCGGTTGATCTCAGGCGAGATCTTCCCAGTTAGTCGTACTGATCTGCAGACGCTTCAGGCAAATCTTCAGTGTGTCCTTGTATCGACGGACTTGGCCTCATTGGCGACGGGAAGCCGTGGCGACATCTGCGTAGAAGAGTCGTTTGGGCATCCGTTCGTTGTCCATTCGCACGTGGTGGCCGCTCCAGCGCAGTTGCAACCGTCTCGGCATAGCGTAGATGCTGAGAATTCTCGTCCGCTCCAGTACGCCCGTGGCCAGGGATCCAGATGCGTCTCAGATATTGAGGCGCGACATTGTACAGTTTCGTTCTCATTTAACAAGTCAGCAGGACTTTATAAATGCCGCAATTTTATTTAGTCACCACTTGTATAGAAACCCCATGGCTAACTGTTTCAATGCTGCATCCACATCGTTGACCGGATTTGTCCAGGGACAAGAACCCCTATGAAAAGAACTCATGGTACCTCCTAGAATTTCTCATGCGTGTGTGAATTAGGCATCTGAGATCGTGCGGCGAACACTATGGCTGTTGTGGGACGACATGCTGTTTAAGTATATCTTTTCGACTGCATAACTCGTGCCTCCGGCGCCTTTTCAGTCGACATTTGGGTCGTCATGACCGAAGATGTCTACCGTGTGCTCCACAGCAAAGTGAGGCGGGCACAAGCGAAAGTTGACTTGCACAACATATACCGCACTTTCTCCTCTCTCCTCCGCCTTAGCCTGGTGTCAAGACACAGTCAAGAAGACCGGAGGCGGGAGAGGGCGCAGATGGCTGGCGTGGTCTGACCCGCATCCCGGACCCCCTGGTCAACAACATTTGAACAGGGTTTTAACCAACAACAGCACCACAACGGGTCAGAGAGAGGAGGGGGACTGGGAAACCATGCCCACGACCTGTGTACCCAGCAGGAGCGCCAGCGCATCCACCGGCAGGGAACCAGGTGTCGGAGAACTACCGGTGCGCACCAGGCTGCGAGGACCATGAGCGTCACTTCAACCAAGGTTGCGTCGAAGAACATAATTTGACGATGTACAGGACTGGGACTCGTTTTCTGAACACCCGAGGGCTTTTGTAAATAAGTTACGCTTCCTAGTGAAGCCCACTTTCTATGGGCGGTTATTAGCGGAGAAGTGTTGACCACAGTGACAAGGGGATGCCGCAGTGGCCAATTCTGGCTTATTAACCGTGAGCAGCCGGTGGTACCACAGTCCTACAGCCAGTGCGACCGTCTGCGTGGGCTGTAGACCGTCAGCGCCAAGGCAAAACAGAATGGTCTGCATCCTGTCCCGTAATCAGGACAGGTCGGTGCACGTAAATCTGGTCTGTGGGCGTTTGGTAGTGCAGCCCGCCCGTCGTCGAACTGCAGCGGTCGAACTGTCGGTGCAGCATGGAGACCCGATCGTACGCACTCGCACGAGCTGGTTGTCTGCACGGATGACTCACCTCGTACCTTTTGCTGCAGAACCGACGGCGATCGACAAATTAATTGTTGCTGTCTTTAGACAAATTTCCCTAGATTACTTGGGTAGACACCCACTTGCGCATTCTCAAGCTGGTGTTTGCTTCCTAACCTGCTTTTTTGCTCTCTGTTGTAAAGATTATTTTCAAAATGTTGTCTTCGGGAAGTTTTTACTGCTGGAAAAGCTTTCAACATCCAGCTTCAGACTTCCAGCTGGCAAAGTAAATCTTATCCAGGGACTTCAGACCGTCAGCTGAAGTCAGATTGATTCGGGGCGTGTTACCTTTTGGAAATTCCTGCAGCGAAGTTAGAGGAAGCATACAAGGCCAAGCGTGTCTTTTTAAACATATCGACTGGACAACTGTTTCAGTGGACTACCGTGACTGAACTTGGACTGTCTGCTATGGCCTCAAGTAATTATATAAGCTATTAATTTTAGGAACGGAGACGAATGGAGACGAATGCCCGGGTTCCAGGTTTATGTATGAGTAACGAAAAAGAGAACTATTCGAACACCCGAAGTCATTATCAGAGACAGTAGCAGCATCAGAACAGGCGAGTTATAGGGGGCACTAGGCAATCAACGATCGGTGGCTCGTGTCCGGAGGTGACTGCGCAGTCTACGCAACAGGGCGACAAAATACCGTAAGTAACTGTCCACACCTTCAAAATGAGTTATGAGTCCAACTTCGCAGTGGCCAATATAATCGCCCACACCGGAAGCAATACAAGTCAAGAATTGGTCGAAGCCTGGACCTCGGATGAGAACTCGGTCAATCGGTAGATCGATACGGCGCAGTCAACTTTAGACCTACGTCATCGATCGTTGATTGTCTAGTACCCCCTATAACTGTCTCTTGTCCTGTTCCTGCTACCATCCCTGACGATAGACGCCTGAGCGAGAATAATAAATAAATAATAAATAAATTGTTTCTGCGATCGGTCAGTATTCTTCTTCTTCTTCTTCTTCTTCTTCTTCTTCTTCTTCTTCTTCTTCTTCTTCTTCTTCTTCTTCTTCTTCTTCTTCTTCTTCTTCTTCTTCTTCTTCTTCTTCTTCTTCTTCTTCTTCTTCTTCTTCTTCCTCCTCCTCATCTTCTTCTTCTTCTTCTTTTTCTTCTTCTTCTTCTTCTTCTTCTTCTTCTTCTTCTTCTTCCTCCTCCTCCTCCTCCTCCTCCTCCTCCTCCTCCTCCTCCTCTTCTTCTTCTTCTTCTTCTTCATCATCATCATCTTCTCCTTCTTCTAAAACCACGACTCAAACTTCCCGATGGGTTAAGATCTGTTTGTGGAATCTACCGAATGTATAAGAATATAATTCTTCCCGGAAAAGATGTTTCTGCCGTTTACTGTGTGAAATTTTTTCAGATGTCACATTGCGCTGGTGAACGCCAGTGTGCATTTCAGGCAATCAGTCGTGTATTTTGACTTCCAGATCGGCTGAAAAACAACTAATATAATTTTCACTGTAATAGAGACACCTCACCTGGTTAGTTAAGCCTAATCTAAAATTGTAAACAACATATCCATATAAAAGTAGGCAGCTGAGGTAAAACACGGGTAAATATGGGAAGAAAATGGACAGTCCAGCGAATCTCTGAACTGACTGTATGAAGCAGGATAGAGCACTGTCTTGCTCCCAAGAATGCACGGGTTCGAGCCTCCGCCTTGGCGTCTTTCCCATGAGGGTACCTGCAAATTGGTGTCACAAAAGTGCTTCTATTAGAAATGACGAAATGACAACAAAGTATATTTGGACAAATGCCTTAACGGTGGCGCAAAACCTGGTAGTGCCATTTAACCCGATGGTGGAGTGATTTATATCCTCCTTTGCGCGTTAGGACAAAATCAGCTCCGCCATCAAGAAGTATACTAAAAGGCGGTAAACCCCAGTCTTTGCTTCCTGCAAATCAGAATTCTGCAATACCAAGGCAGATGACCTCACTGCCATCATACGCTCGAACATGATTGGAGTTCTCAATGACCTTAAGCGATTTACCTTTCTCATTATCGCTGTTCACGACAGAGGAGGACAAACATGGTAAGATTTCGTCCCTGGACATCCTGGCCGCATGGCACGAAGAAAAAAAGCTGCTGAATGTTATTTTCAAGGAAGTCACACAAGCTGCAA